TCGTTACTCATGTCGTCAGCGCACACAGGAACCAAAATCACACACTTATGTTTACTTCAATAATATTTTCATGTATATAGTCATAATAATTCCTTAAACGATACCTCTGGCACTGATCCCCGGTTAAACGACACCTCTGGCACTGATCCCCGGTTAAACGACACCTCTGGCACTGTCACCGGTTAAACGACACCTCTGGCACTGTCACCGTTTAAATGACACCTCTGGCACTGTCACCGTTTAAAGTGACACCTCTGGCACTGTAGCCGTTTAAACGACACCTCTGGCACTGTCACCGTTTAAATGACACCTCTGGCACTGTCACCGTTTAAATGACACCTCTGGCACTGTAGCCGTTTAAACGACACCTCTGGCACTGTCACCGTTTAAACGACACCTCAGGCACTGTCACCGTTTAAACGACACCTCAGGCACTGTCCCCGGTTAAACGACACTTCTGGCACTGTCACCGTTTAAACGACACCTCTGGCACTGTCACCGGTTAAACGACACTTCTGGCACTGTCACCGTTTAAACGACACCTCTGGCACTGTCCCCGGTTAAACGACACCTCTGGCAATGTCACCGTTTAAACGACACCTCGGTTATCTTGTACCTTCGTTAAATGGCACTTGTATACTCCACACCGTCTCGTTTACACGTCCTGGCGCTCTCTCCACTTATACGACGACTCCATTTAAAGCTTCTTCAGTTAAACGAACCGTCTGCTGCCGTCTTGTATACCCGACACACGCCTTAAAGGGACGGGGACCTCTTGTAACAATATGCTGTTGTGTGGGGGGTGGGGTGGGGGTGGGGAGGTAGGGGGTGTGAGGTGGGGAGATGGGGGTGGGGAGGGGGGTGTGGGTGGGGGGTGTGGGTGGGGGAGGTAGGGGGTGTGGGTGGGGGGGTGGGGGTGTGGGTGGGGGAGGTAGGGGGGTGTGGGTGGGGGTGTGGGTGGGCGAGGTAGGGGTGTGGGTGGGGGAGGTAGGGGGTGTGGGTGGGGGAGGTGGGGGGGTGTGGGTGGGGAGGTGGGGTGTGTGGGTGGGGAGGTGGGGGGTGTGGGTAGGGGTGTGGGTGGGGGAGGTAGGGGTGTGGGTAGGGGGTGTAGGTGGGCGGGTGAGGGGTGTGGGTGGGGAGGTAGGGGGTGTGGGGTGGGGGAGGTAGGGGGTGTGGGTGGGGAGGTAGGGGGTGTGGGTGGGGGAGGTAGGGGGTGTTGGTGGGGGAGGAAGGGGTGTAGGGGATGTAAAGAGGCACACACACACACACACACCTCGCCATGGCCACAAACAAAATCGATTACCTGGAGGCATCAACTTACGCATTATATATATACAAGAAACACAATTGTGAAGCCGCTCTCCTGATGCTAGGGATCGACCCAACCACCCTCAGGTACACGTTCACTGCCTGACCCACTCCTCCACCGCCACCTCCTGACCTCACCACCACTACTGACGTCCTATCCAACTCCTGACGTCACTACCTCTGACGTCCTATCTACCTACTGACGTCACCACCATTACCTCCTTTATTGACTTCATTAAAACCACTGCTGACATCATCACCACTAACTTTTCATCTACCATTGACGTCACTGCCTTCCCCATTCCTCCATCATCACTGACGTCACCATCATTACCAAAGAGTCATCACCCCCCATCATTGACGTCATCACCAACACCACTGACGTCACCGCCAACACCAGTGACGTCATCAACACCACCCCTGACGTCATCAACACCACCCCTGACGTCATCAACACCACCCCTGACGTCACAACCACAATTGACGTCACCTTCATTGATTTATATCCCCACAACTCCGAACATCAAACAGAGTCAACACAAGACGCAAGCCATCAAAGTCAACACTGTTTTGACTCTTACTAAAAATATTAAGTTTACCATCCCCAGGTGTGTGTGTGTGTGTGTGTGTGTGTGTGTGTGTGTGTGTATTCTTGAGTTTAGAGTTAGCGTGATAATGATTTCTATACGTACACACATATTACATACACACGCACATATATTATACATACACACACACACACACACACACACACACACACACACATACATACATACATACATACACACACACACACACACACACACCTGGACCCCTTAAGGAAATGGTGCCGGTGCAACTCTCAACCTCCGTGAGTGTAGCGTAAAGAAACTCTCTCTCTCTCTCTCTCTCTCTCTCTCTCTCTCTCTTCTCTCTCTCTCTCTTTCTCTCTTAATATACTAAACAACAATCAAACAGTCGAAAAAGGACAAGAGTATTCATTGAGAGAGAGAGAAGAAGAAGATCACATAAGGATGTCAGCGTCACTCCTCGGTATAATCAGCGTCAGGGGCGTCAGTCACGGACGGGGATTATACTGTCACTTCGCCAGGAACCCGTACCACAGATATCTACCTTAGGCACACGGGTGGGGTGCCAAGGGTGCCAGATGGTCTTGGGGAAGGGGATGTCATAGGAGAGGACATCAAGGGTGTGCCAGTCGATGTCAAAGGGTAGAACGTCATGGGGTGGTTTCAGGGGTGATGTTAGGGGTGGTGTCGGGGGTGGTGTCGGGGGTGGTGCGGGGGGTGGTGTCGGGGGTGGTGTCGAGGGTGGCGTCGGGGGTGGTGTCGGGTGGGGTGATGCCAGGGGTGGTGTCAGGGGGTGGTGTCGGGGGTGTCGGGGGGTGGTGTCGGGTGGGGTGATGCCGGGGGTGATGCCAAGGGGTGGTGTCAGGGGGTGGTGTCGGGGGGTGGTGTCAGGAAAAGGGTTGTAAAGGGTACAAAGGACACACTCACACACACACACTAAATATATATTAGGCAGAAAGTCATGAGATGTAATTCAACCTGTGGTGGACAGAGGTAAAACTATCATTAATAAGACAGGTAAGTAAAACACAAGAGCGTGGAGTGTAACGAGTGTCGACAAGGCACGCAACACCCCCACCCCCCCCTCACCCCCCACCTTCACCAACAACACACAAAGAGAAGCACAAATAAAGAGTGAAATAATGTGTGTGTGTGTGTGTGTGTGTGTGTGTGTGTGTGTGTGTGTGTGTGTGTGTGTGTGTTAGACTCTTGTTGTTCTGTTACATATTTATTTATTGAGACAAGAAATGTAGACTCGTTCTCATATATACATGTAAACATCAATACATCTTCACCCAGTCAGCCCAGGGGGAGGAGGGTCCTTATGAGGATACGAACTCGGGTCCTTACATTTTTTTTTTTTGTAGGGGAAGAGAGGAATGAGGAAGATTAGAGGGAGGGGAAGAGTATTGTTCGGAAATCGAAGAAATTTAGGAGGAGGAGGTAGAGGGCTGGCTGACTAAGCTAATGGTGTGTGAGGGTTGTGTCATGGGTTAGTTATTGTCTGTCGGTACAGGCACTAGACATACTACCCTGTCCCATATATGGGTGTTTTAAGGGCCTTATTTCATATTCCGTCGACCCTACTGGCGGATGCTGGTCTAGGGAGGTTGTCTATTGCCTGGCCGTGTAGATCGGGGGTGGTAATGGTTGTTGTCGGTATCTGGTGGGAGTCTTTGAAGGAGTTCTTGCTCTGATCGTTCTATCTTTTGCCAGATTCTACAGTTACAGCCAGGGTGTTGAGGAAGTGTTATGATGGCGAGGGTGTGTGTGGTGTGTGTGTGTGTGTGTGTGTGTGTGTGTGTGTGTGTGTGTGTGTGTGTGTATCAGTCAAAACACATCTTGCCAATTGACATCATTCCAGATAAGATATACCTAACCTAACCTAACCTAACCTAACCTAACCTAACCCTAACCAAACCTAACATATTCCTAACATAAGTCATTGCTGAAGTTGAGGTGGAGGGCGGCCGAGCTATTCCTGGCCATCCTCCCTTCACTTGTCACCCCCTCTAGGTGCGTGATGTTAACGACTGTACAGGGGGGCTGTGATGAGGACCCACTACCTCAAACTTTGTGTGTGTGTGTGTGTGTGTGTGTGTGTGTGTGTGGTGTGGTGTGTGTGTGTGTGTGTGTGTACCGCCAACCCTAAACATTTTTATAGTAAATACATACTGTAAGGAGGGAGAGGGGTGAGGAAGGGGAGTGAGGAAGGGAGTAAGGGGAGGGAGAAAGGGGAGGAAGGGAATGAGGGAGTGAGGGAGGAGAGAAAAGAAGGATTAAGAAATGAGAGTAAGAAAGGAGGAAAGGCGTGAGAATGGAGAGAGGAAGGAAGGAAGGAGGTAGGGAAGAAAAGGGAGGGAGGGTAGAAGAAGAGAGAGGATGAGTATCGGAATTAATTAGTGTCATATAATCAGCATCGATACTGCGAGGGAGGAGGACGAGGAGAGGAGGAGGGGAGGAGGAGGAGGAGGGAGGAGGAGGAGGAGGAGGAGGAGGAGGAGGGAGGAGGAGGAGGAGGAGGAGGGAGGAGGAGGAGGAAGAAGAGGAAAGACATGAGGGAAAATATGAAAACAAAACGACAGGGATATGAACAAATAAAGTGACCCCACACACACACACACACACACACACACACACACACACACACAGAGGAACTAAATATCAGCAGAGACTAAAGATAAAAGCGATAATAAACAGAGGAATAAACACAAGGTCAACACCCCACCACCGGCAGTGAGAGTAGCAGGTAACAGTAGCAGGGAGCAGTAGCAGGTAACAGTTCTATTCATACTCATACACTTCCATGCCTGTTACCTGAGTACACCTGGGGTATACTCTCTCTCTCTCTCTCTCTCTCTCTCTCTCTCTCTCTCTCTCTCTCCTGTCAAGCAGAAGCCCATCAAATTTGCCTTCAGGTGTGTGTGCCGTAGGTTAAGTGACTCACCTGTGTGGATCCTGACTAATGAAGGGTACACCTGAGCCGTGTTTACCTGTGTCTTGTGAGTGAGAGACAACAGGTGTGAGGTGTTACAAGTGAGAGACAACGGGTATTTGAGGTAAGAGGTGAGACACAACAAGTGTTTTAGGTGAGACACTAGGCGGGGGGTGGGGGGTACTCACCTGGTAGACTGAGACGCACGATGGGGTAAGGAGGTGTGCCAGGGACCAGTAGTGTGGTGCCGCCTGGTGAGGAGACTGAGGTGATGAGGTTAGTGTGGTGGTGTTGTCCTCGACCATTGTGGCTCATGGTCGAGTACGGGGAGGAGGAGGAACCCCCACTGTTACTCGACAGACGCTCCTTGGCACTCAAGTCGAGCGGCAGGAAAGGCAAGTTGAGATTGGTCGGGGACATGCCTCTACGGCCCTCCTTCTCCACCCCATGTGGGATGGACGTCAGGCTCCCGAAGGACGACCCCGAGGATGAGGTCACCCCCCCGCCGACCTCCAGCCCTCCACTGGTAGAGCCTCCCCCGTGTTGCTCCGCCCACTGCTGCTGGAACTGGTTGATAAACACAGGTAAGGAAAGTTTCCTTTTATTCTTCAGTGTGGCGCGGAACCTCGTTAGTTTCTTCTCCACCTTCTCCATCATCGGTGAACCATGAGTCTACTGCTGGACGGGAAGGGGTCGACTCGAAGGTCAGAGTTTAACAACTTTACAGGAAAAGGTCGAGCCTCAACACTTCACCAGGTTGTTGACACGTCCAGGTGACTAACACCCTCGTCCACATGACTGTTAGCGGGTACCTGGCGAGTGTCCCAGTACACGGCACCTGCTCAGTACCGGAAGCGCTGGTACCATTCACTTTTTTTCTACCTTTAATAACAGTTTTTGGTGAGTATACCGGTGCTCGTCACCAGTTACCGGTACACGCCACCACCTGCTTCCTGGGTAGGAGGCGAGAACCCCCCCCGCAGAGACCCGTTCACCATTATTTCCCCAACAGCAGCTCGACGCCACGCCACCCAACACCCAGGAAAAAGTTCACCGAGTGTTAATGAGTGTAATTTACCTGGCGTCGAGTGCCGCTCTTACCTGTCCTCGCCTCACAACCCCTGTCCTCTACATCACCCGCCTCAGTCACACACTTTCCACTTCCAAACATAAACACAGACCTGAGTTAGATCTAAACACTGTAACTGTTCAAATTGTAATCCACTCGCGGAGGTAAAGAACAAACACGAAATTGGGTCATTTTTCTGAATTACATCAGTTTATACGAGTAGTATCTTCATGTATCTATAACAAGGCTTTAATTGAGCTTCTTTTCAGGTATAATAATTCATCCAGACAAAAAAACACAATCCACTTTTTTCCTTCTAAATCCAGTTTGTTTGTTAGGCGTTTCTAATATATTCTTGAGGTCGCTAGAGCAGTTGTCCTCTGTAGCTGGACATAAAGGCGTCAACTTAAGTTTCTCTTCAACAAAAACAACAAATTCTTTTTAAAAACACAGAATTCTTTTTTTTTTTCTCTTTTAGGTCAATACATCCACACTCACTTTCCCATGTCCCTTACACTTAACTAAGACACTTGTATTAACCTGAAAAACACAGGGAAATCACCATCATGACGGACCATTAACACGCCACAATGACGCAGCCGCCACAACAAGAGGCAGTCGATGGTGTAACTTTACTGCACCTTCACTAGATAACTGGTTCGACCCCCCAGAGGCTACACTGCTGTACTGTACCACGCCCCTGGTCACCTCACGCCCACGGGAGCTACGGTACGCCCTGGGTTACCTCACGCCCACGGAGGCTACGGTACGCCCCTGGTCACCTCACGCCCCCGGGAGGAGATTACACCTACCACTTAACGACTTCATTATACAGTTATTACAGCATGCGGTTACCCACTGACAGGCGGACACTGTCATGCATCGCCAGCACAAGCGATGAACACTGCCTGGCGTTCTCCTCCTCCTCCTCCTCTCCGAAATGATGACACAGTTACGAAATCTACGCCAGACGAACGTTAGCCACCCAATTACGCCTGCAGTGGAGGTCCCCGATGACGCAAGCATGAGTGGTCAGTTAGGTCCCACCCCACAGCGCCACAATAAACTCCAATAGGCCTAACCCCCACAGCGCCACAATAAACTCCAATAGGCCTAACCCCCACAGCGCCACAATAAACTCAATAGGCCACAACCCCCCACAGCGCCACAATAAACTCCAATAGGCCAAGCCCCCCCCACAGCGCCACAATAAACTCAATAGGCCACAACCCCCACAGCGCCACAATAAGCTCAATAGGCCACAACCCCCCACAGCGCCACAATAAACTCCAATAGCCAAACCCCACAGCGCCACAATAAACTCAATAGGCCACAACCCCCCACAGCGCCACAATAAGCTCAATAGGCCTACCCCCACAATAACGACACACATTACTGAGTATTAAACTGGTGTAGGGTCAAGCTGTGACGTAACCACACACTAAGTTTGGTCAAGAGCGACTGCAATACTGCTACCTGCTACTGCTTACCTGCTACCTGCTACTGCTACCAACCTGCTACCTGCTACTGCTACTGTACCTGCACACCTGCTACTACCTACTGTTACCTGCTACTGCTACCTGCTACTGTTACCTGCTACTGCTACCTGCTACTGCTACTGCTACTGTTACCTGCACACTACCTGCTACTGTTACCTCACTGTTACCTGCTACTGCTACCTGCTACTGTACCTGCTACTGCTACCTGTACCTGCTACTGTTACCTGCTACTGCTACTTCCATTCCTACTATTTTCACAACACAACTAGCACTCAACATCTGACCTTAATGACCGGACTGGTAGAAACCACTCCTTTCAAGGTTACTGTTACTAGGCTGAGGTTGTCCACTCTCCCATAACACAAGACAGACAGACAGACAGACAGACAGACACAGACAGACAGACAGACAGACAGACAGACCAAACAATCAATTTATACCATAATAAACATCCCAAGTGAGTCTGTGTGTCTGTGTGTGTCTTGTCTGTGTGTGTGTGTGTCTGTCTGTGTGTGTCTGTGTGTCTGTGTGTGTCTGTGTGTCTGTGTGTGTCTGGCTGTGTGTGTCTGTCTGTCTCTCTCTATTGAACGAGGTATCTATAAATTTCTCTCTCTCTCTCTCTCTCTCTCTCTCTCTCTCTCTCTCCTCCAGCAACAACAATCATTAACAAGTCAACTAAACAAGATGGCTAACAGTGGACACACAAAGAGGTCACAACCCACATACTCGCAAGGTCAAACGGGGTGTAAAAACAAAAAATTGGGTTAGGTGGTGGTTAGGTTAGGGTGAGGTTAGGTTAGGGTTGGGGTGAGGTGAGGTTAGGGATGGGGTGAGGTGAGGTTAGGTTGGGGTGAGGTGAGGTGAGGTGTGGTGAGGTTAGGTTAGGTTAGGGTAAGGTTAGGTTAGGTTAGGTTAGGTTGGGGTGGTGGTGAGGTTAGGTGGTGGTTAGGTTAGGGTGAGGTTAGGTTAGGGTTAGGTGAGGTGAGGTTAGGGTGAGGTGAGGTGAGGTGAGGTGAGGTTGAGGTGAGGTGAGGTAAGGTTAAGGTAAGGTAAGGTTAGGGTGAGGTGAGGTAAGGTTAGGGTGAGGTGAGGTGAGGTGAGGTAAGGTGAGGTAAGGTAAGGTAAGGTGAGGTAAGGTAAGGTTAAGGTAAGGTTAAGGTAAGGTAAGGTAAGGTTAGGGTTTAAAATAAAGTAAAATATAATTATCCCTCCAAAAAACATTTAATTGGGAGGGCGATAACGTATCTATTTTATCTTACGACTATAACATAAAGTCTCAGAACTTCCTCCCGTGACGTATAAGGCGAGAAAGCGTCTCATTGGTCGAACGATGCAAGGACAAAAAATATTACACAAGATACAATATAAAAAAAAATCTTAAAAAATGCATTAACACCTGTACCTAGACAAAAGGGAAAATAACTTACGATTCTTTAAATATCTCTACATCGTTGGATTAAGTGAATCAGAGCTTAGTTTATCTATCACTTACGATAAAAAAAAAAAATCTATCTTAAGTGAATTAGAGGCAGTTAGGAGGAAAATTAACCTTACGACACTAAGAATCTACCTTAAGATAGTCAGGTATAAGGGAGTTTTTGTTATATCGTAAGGGTGTTGGTGGAGCGAGCTGGCATGTGCGCAGTAGAGAGTGAAAGTTGACGTAGGCTCCTCCACCTTGTTTACTGCAGTCAGCTGATCACCTCCCACCCCCTGCCCCCACCCAGGTACACCTCACCCTAGTACCTCCACCCTCACCCCCGTACCCTCACCTAGGTAACCCCCCACCCTCCCCCAGGTACTCCCCACCCTCCCCCAGGTACTCCACCTTCCCCAGGTACCCCCGCCCTCCCCCAGAGTACCACCCACCCTCCCCCAGGTACCCCCACCTCCCCAGGTACTCACCTCCCCCCTTCCACCCACCCTTGTGACACGCTTCACTTAGGCACTTTTAAAACTCACACTGTTACTGAGGCTTCACTCTATTCATACTATGGCTTCACATACAAGGCTTAAAACTCTTTAAAAGGTAACAGGGCTTCACTAGATAGGTCATTAAAGTTCCATACAGTTACCAAGGCTTCAGTATCTCCAACGGGCACTGAACGATAAAGGCTTCACTTAAAACTTTTAGGAACACCAAAATTACTTACAAAAAACTTTCACTTACAAATAAGACATGAACAAAACCATCACCAAGGCTTCAATAATGTTTCTAATGAAGTCGAGTTAGTATCAAGGCTTCACTTAATACAGGCTTCCTAGGAGAGGCTTCGATGTATGCAAGAAACAAGAATAATATATGCTGAGTGTCCTTCACTGTACACACACACACACACACACACACGTACACACACACATTACACACACACACACACACACACACACACACACACACACACACACACACACACACACACACACACACACACACACACACACACACACATGATTAGAAAACTCATAAAAAAATCAGAACATAAATACGATAAACAAAGAAAATAAATAAGAAAAAAGTAAGAAATTCATAATAAATCAGAATAACTTGACAGGATAAAGTTTTCGTCGCCATAAAAGCAAATTCGTTTACCCTCCAAGACTGATCTTACAAATGGGAATTAATGGGGTGAGGGAAACAGCAGAGGAAGGGAGGGGAGGAGAGAAGAAAGAAGAAGAGGGGGAAGGAATGAAAGGGGAATCAGAGGAGGAGGAGCAAAGGAATTGGTAGAGGAGGGCTGAAATAAGGCTGGGGAGAGCAAGTGGGGAGAGGGGAGAGTCAAGTTATCACAAACACACCATTTCTGTATTATATTTTCCTCCCCCTCCCCTCCCCTCCCCTCCTCCCCCCTCCCATCCCCTCCCCTCCTCTCCTCTCCCCTTCCCTCACTGACCTGTGACATTCAGCAAGCGGCTTGCCTGGGGAGGTAATACACTTTACCAGCATGCTCCCTCCACCCCAGATCACCCCTGGGGAGCACTTCACTCACACACACACACACACCACACACACACTCACACACAAAGAAGTCTTTTCAATGGCCGACTTTCAACCCAACCTGTATTTAATCAGAATAAATATAAAGGTCTCGTTAAAATGGCGTTCTGGGGACATTTAAAGCCTGTGACTTAACATAAAGTATCTGTAAGTCATCAATCAACAGGTAAGTCATCAATCAACAGGTAAGTTATACACCTACACTAACGCTTCCCCCCAATCACAACCTCAAGTATCCAATAACTTAATTCCCATTGGTTCCCGCAACGTCCACAAGGCCAATAGACCCGCTGCAGTTTCCTCCATTCTTATGTTCTTAACCTCACTTAAAGCTTCAACACTTAATCCCAACTCCCCTCCCAACCCCCCCTTCCCTCCCTTCCAACTCCCTCCTAGACGCCTCCCCACCCCTCCAACTCCCTCCTAGACGCCTCCCCACCCCTCCAACTCCCTCCTAGACGCCTCCCCACCCCTCCAACTCCTCCTGGACGCCTCCCCTCCTCCAACTCCCTCCTAGACGCCTCCTCCTCCCAACTCCCTCCTAGACGCCTCCCACCCCTCCAACTCCTCCTAGGCCTCCCCTCCAACTCCCTCCCCTAGACGCCTCCCCACCCCTCCAACAACTCCCCTAGACGCCCCCACCCTCCCAACTCCCCCTAGACGCCCCCCACCCCTCACTCCCCTAGACGCCTCCCCACCCCTCCAACTCCCCTAAACGCCTCCCCACCCCTCCAACTCCCCCCTAGACGACTCCCACCCCTCCAACTTCCCCTAGACGCCCCTCCTCCAACTCCCTGGGCACCTCCCACCCCCTCCAACTCCCTCCCTAGACGCCTCCCTCCCTCCAACTCCCCCCTAGACGCCTCCCTCCTCCAGCTCCTCCTAGACGCCTCCCCACCCCTCCAACTCCCTCCCTAGACGCCCTTCCCACCTCCAACTTTCCTCCTGGAGCCTCCCCACCCCTCCAACTCCCCCTAGACGCCTCCCCACCCCTCCAGCAACTTCCTCCCTAGACCTTCCCTCCCCTCAACTCCCCCACAGA